AAAAATAATTTTTTTTGCGCCATTTCATCGAATTTTTGGACATAAAACTATTATCAAATACAAAATGTGTTTAATGGAAAGTTTAAAAATAAGATTGACATGAAAAATGAAAAACTGTTAAGAATATAAGTGCTATAAAGAGGAAAATTAAGAAGCTCAGGTGTATTCCAATTTAATTATCTTTTTATATTACCAATTATATCCTTCTAAGTTTTAAACCATCAATTAGATTCATTTCGTTCTCATATACATTACTCGGAAACGAACAGTTCCTCGAAATTGTTTACAGTCCTCATAGAACTGCACGAAGACTCTAAATGTGTATCTCTATTATGCCAGTTCTCATTACCCTTTTACACTTCGATCAATTCCCGATAAACCTGAAGAAAATCCCAGTTTGATTCCCTTTTTTGCAGTATCAATAATGGAATACATGGACGAAGATATCGTAGCCCAGTACTTTTACAAAGGCGCGAAAGTTGAAATCAGCAGCAAAGACGAAGGCATTCGAGGCTCTTGGTACGCGGGCACCGTCCTTAGCCACCGAAAATCGAAGAGGAATTCTTGCATGAAGGTGCTAGTGAAGTACAAAACCCTGTTGGACAACGAGGGCACTTTGCGGCTGAGGGAGGAGGTGGACGCGATACAGCTGCGGCCGGCACGTCATCAGGAGAACCGCTGGATTTTCGATTCCAGTGAGAATGTGGACGCGTATTATCATGACGGGTGGTGGGAGGGTGTCATAACTGAAGTGTTGGGGGAGGATAAATACAGGGTGTTCTTCCGGGACAGCCGGGAGCAGAGGAACTTTAAGGGTTCCCGGCTGAGGAGCCACCATGAGTGGGTCATCGGGAAGTGGATCCCGCCTTTGGAAAAAGGATACGACGTCTCGCCTCCATTGAAGCGGCCAAAGGTTGAGGTATATTTGTTTTTTGAGTTTTGCATTACAATGTCATATACTGATCCGTTAGAATGAAATTTAAATGTGCACATGCATGTTCACTAATCGATTTATTGCATATATCTAATGTTTCAACAATTTCAACTGGTATTCTGAATTGTTATTCGATAATTTTATACAAGTTGTGACATTGTTGTAGGTGAACATTCATCGTGATCCTTTGTCTAGTCTTATGATTTCTAAGAGCATTGAATATAGGAAAATTTAAGTAACGTGTCCGGTGTGAAGACGGTTTTATTAGACTTCATACATCGTGCAGTCAAAAATTACAAGAAACTTGTGAGTCATTGCACTCTGGTAAGGAAGTAAGCTGGAAAATCCATGTTACATCTTGGGAAGCCTTAATCAATTTTGTTTGGTTATAGGGCATTTTGTTAAATGCATATTAAGTGTCAAAGAAAAAAACAAGTGATGAACTGAACTGTTGCCCTATGTCAAAGCACTCTTAAGAAAATTCGAATGCCAGCTGTTAGAGGAGACAACACTTTTCTCAAGAAGCATTTAGAAGAATA